AGAGGAATATGATGTTTAATATGCAGTTACAATAATTAAACAAATTGTCATGTATTTGCACATTCATAAGGTACTAATTACAATAATTGCTCAAAATTACAACAGTATTAAAGGAAAGCGGTAATAGAAAGCATTGAGAGAAATAAAGAGAAGAAATGAAGAGCCAAGTCAGTTTTCCAAGTAGGAGAGCAAAATAAATACTTAAAGGCATTAAAGACATTTAAGGAAGCATAAAGTCACAAATAGCATGAAATGGTAAAAGCCTTTAAGAAATCCCTAGTAGAGTCGCCATGCTGTCGCGCCTCTTTTTTCTCGCGAAATCGGGTTTATGACATTTGGGAGGACAACTCGTTCCCTTTTGGGAATCGGGTTTTTTGATTTGAAGAGTCGCCACCTAATGATTAAGTGCATTAGGACACTAGGAAGAATTTGTTTAGAAAAATTAGAGTTTGGGTAAGGGCTAGAAATTATCTCGAGGGGAAGGTGTTAGGCACCCCTCAAGATCCACTAGTGTGGTTCTCGGCCATGCTACAATTGTGACTTAAGTACAAACAATAAATAAGCAAATAAGGGTTTCAAATATGAGGGGTTGTCACATTGTGATTGCAAATAAGTTAAAGTTTGAAGAAACAAGGAAGCTGAAATTTGAGAAAAAAAGGAGTTTTGAAATTTTTAAAGTAATAAAATAAACAAATAAAGAGAAGGGGGTCTTAGGTTTATAAATAATATGGATCACATCAATGCAATACCCGGTAATCACTCCTCAGAATAGGGGTTACATGTGGTATTAGCGTACCGATCATCATATCTATATCTACCATTTCCCACCCTGTTGACGTATTAAATGCGTAATGGTTTCATTTAGTTATTGCATACTAGTACCCGCCCCAATCCTATCAGTCTTGGAGACATTTGGGACTACTAGTCCTAAAGGGAAGGGAGATTTGGGCTTTGTATGGTTTAAAGGGATAAAATTCTAAAGCGACAAACAAAAACACATAAGGAAGTTATGGGAAACACATAATAATTTAAAAGGCTCAGACAGGCCTCTTCACTTAAAGACATATTGTTTAGCATGTCTTGCAGATACTGGTTATGGTCTGAATTAAACTTAAACGTTAAGGAGGCAGACTAGTCTATTACATATTTTAGATAAGAAACCGGAATCAGACATGCCTGCTGGTTTGAATTAACAGAGTCGGATTTAATTAGCTAATTTACCTTATTTCTTACCTAGGTTAAACCAATAGGCATGATATCTAAATACGAGAGAAAGATACTGATTTCAGAAGCAGATTTATTAACAGCAGGAACATAAGTTCTGCAAGCGTTTAAGCAATGCTATTACTGATTTTAAACTTATAAGCAAGTTGAGGGATTCAGATTAGTTGCTTATTCCTATAGGCATGCTTTCTAAGTGTGACTGATTTTAACCTTTACGAAAATGCAGAAATCCTATAGGCATGGCATCTAAAACGCTGATTTTATTATTCAAGCCTATATATTGTTTGCCTAGTGATAGATACGTATGCAATATTCAGATACCCTATAGACATGCTTTCTATATGATAGGCAAAATGCAGAATCCTATAGTCATGTTCTCTATATGAGATGCAGAAATGCAAAAGCTATTGATATGATGTATATGCAGAACTTATAGGTAGGATTTCTAAGATGCAAAAGCCTAAAACAGGATTTCTGCATGAAAATGTAGAAGTGCAGAACCTAAAACAGGATTTCTATCTGAAAATTTAGAAGTGCAGAACCTAAAACAGGATTTCAAAGATGCCGAAATGCAGAACTTGCCATGATTTGCAGAAATAAAGACCTAATGAGCATGATATCTACCCTTATGCATACATGAGTACCCCTCCCCTTTTCACTATAAGCCCCCATGAGTTATTACAAATTATTACAGCCCAGAATGAAGAAAAGAAAGTAAAAACTACATCAGCAAGCTAAAATCCCAACCAAGGAGAGCCTGATTAAGACTTCTGTCTGAAGCATGAAGTAAACCAACTCCAAAGATCAAATTCCAAAGTCTTTCTCCTATTTAGGATGTGTCAGAGTTCCCTAAGAGTCTCAAGTGGACTCCGGGCAGTGCTTACACCCAAATATATTGCAGAATTGGATTATAGTGCAGTCTAAAAGGGTCGGCCCTCAAATTTCCAAGTTCAGAGGGAGCTCAAGGTCCCAAAGCAAGGATCATAGGAAGGGGGCAGAACATAGTGTCACTCCCCAAAAACCGAGGGGCGCGACCGGCGCTCGACCGGGTAGCCCCCAGCCAAGCGGACCTGGGTGCCTTTCCTATTCCACGTGATACCCTGCATTTCCATTACCCATTAACCAAGTGAAATAGCCATTTATAAATTTAAACACATTCTTACGAGATTTACATAACATACATAGTTACTTAGCGTGGTTTACAAGTTGTACTGCCAAAAATACATAAGTACATAACCCACATTTCATGTCTACGGAGCCTCTAGAGATACAGAAGAGTGTTACAATACTTGCCGGAGCAAGGCTCCGGCTATACCTTATGCAAATACCAAAATAAAATTTTTGGGAGGATAAGCGGCATGAGCGACACAGGGCCTCGAGAGGAAAGGGGCTCACTAATTCAGATGATGGGAGGTAAAGGAGTGCTACTGTCGGTAGGCTGGAGTACTTGTTGTGGAACCACCTACAATCATAACACGAATGTAGCGCCCTCGGCAAAAGGGACGTCAGTAAATTTGAATTGTACTGGTATGTATGAACAAACATTACCCCAAGTAAAATCAAGAAATACACATATAACAAACAGTACTAGAATCAACAATCAAATGCACATGAAAGGAACAACCAAAGCCAAACAACTCCACAATCTCTCTTTTTCCCCTTTCAACATTATTTCATTACATCAATGATTTCACAACTTTCACATATTTTTATTTCAATAGTGATTTCGATCACTTTACCACCCTTATTACCTTGGCTACCCTTATTACCTCAGCCACCCTTATCACTACAACCCACACCTTATAACTTCGTGTTGCGGAGCGCAACTCGATCCCACCGGACAATCACATTTCACACGACAACAACAACAATTCACAAAGAATTTTCATAAATGTCAATACCATTTCCATCATATACAACAACCCGTATACAACTTAAGTCACAACGATAATTGCCCCGACAAGTCACATATGATATTACCACAGTTGTTTCAATTGCATCAATTACGATTTCTTTCCATCATTTGTTACATAGTTCTTACCACATAAACACATTCACACACACACTTGGTTTGTTGCCATTTACTTACACCCTTATATCGGGAGACTGAACCAACAACATTCAAGGCATATTAATCACAAGAATTCGCAAATAGTCCACATAAGTAACACATACCAATTACTCGTACACCAAACAAGGTAACTTTACAAAGGTTAAAGTTAGCAATACATACCTGGAGTCGAATTCCCCTTTTTCTTCTATTTCCAATTCATCAACAACCTAGTACCGTCAATCTAGTTCCCAAAATAACACATATACCTTAGAATTAAAGTTCACAAACTTAGCCCGAACTTACTTAGGTTATCAACCCCTCTTTTGCAAATATTTAGTTCTACCCAATTCCTCTTACTAGATTCTAGGTTTTAAAGGACATGCATGTGTATATCAACTTCCATTTTCAAGAATTAACGCATGAGAATCCCCCTTTTTGTTTAAATCTGAAAACAATGAAAAAGGGTTGGGGATTTTACCTGCAAGAACAGAGATGAAGACAATTACTTGAAATTCCCCGGCCCGAGTGACTTTGAAGAATCAAATTGATGAAGGTAGGACTTTATCACTCAAGAATTCTCTCTTCCCTCTCTTTATTTTTTTTCAGAAAATATGTTAAAATAAGGGGTTGGGGTGTTTTATTGAATAATGGGTCAGATTTAAAATTTAGAAAAATAGGAGCCCGAGTTAGGTATGCGATCGCATTTTGCAATCGCAGAGTGGAAATGCAGTCCGCAGAATGGACCGCAAAAGTGCTCCCAAAATCTTAACACACTGCCTGGGTATGTGGTAAAAATGCGGTCCGCATACCCATTATGCGGTCGCATAGTGCACCGCAGAACTGCCCCTCACAAAATCCAAAGGAAATATGCGACGACTATGCGGTCCGCATATCCATTATGCGATCGCATATTGGACCGCACATTTAACCTCCAATTCGACCAACACACTGACTAGACTCACTTTGCGGTGATTATGTGGTCTGCATATCTGTTATGCGACCGCATTCTAGACCGCAGAATTGCATTTCTTGGAAAACAGTATTTCTTGACTTTTTATAACATAGATCAGTACCAAAAGGGTACTAACCGCGGCTCGCTTAATTTTACACATTCCTAACATATATTCGAGACTTGGCACCACGAGCTACCTGGTTTTGAGTACAAGTTTTCACGGGGCCTTACATCCCCCCCACTTAAAATCATTCGTCCTCGAATGAGGATTTTGGAAATCGGTTGGTTTTGAAAACATGATATGCAAACTCCCAATTTTTGAAAAAATAAAATAAAATTTGCCAGAGTTCCCTTTGTAATTGGACTTATCTACCTGTTAGAGAGCCCCCAAAACATTATTTCCAAGAACCATTACGCTATCCCTATTATCCATACAACTGGTATACAATTCATTACCTCAACACCTGCACATAATTTGGCCACTTCAATGAGTTCCATACAGTTCAACCACTCCAATACACTATACATATTCCAATTAATCATTACTAATCTACACTGCCTTTAATCATTCACTTATCACATGAGTTCTTGCAAAACTTTCATTTACCAAAAAGGGGCTTGCGCATGACTCAATTAATCACAACACATACAATTCTTGCACAACTTGAGGAGTTACAATAGTAAAGCATTTAGGGAAAAATATGGGGTGTCTTTGCACCAGATTGAACACAACATCAGTTTACTTAGAGACAAGAGTTCGCACGATCACTACTAGACTTGTTCAAACAGATGGGGATATTTTTCTTCCTTTTCACTTTCCGCTTCACACGTGGCTTCCTCGACTTGTTGACTTTGCCATAGCACTTTAACTAAAGCAACTTCCTTGTTTCTCAGTTTGGGGACTTGCCTATCAAGAATAGCGACCGGAATTTCTTCATATGATAACTCTCCATTGACCTCGATAGCCTTGATTGGCACGATGGTGGATGGGTCTCCAACCACTTTCTTTAACATAGACACATGGAACACCGGGTGCACTAATGACATTTCAGGGGGGCAATTCCAGTCTATTGGCCACCTGTCCTATCCTTTGAGTGACCCGATACAGCCCGACATATCTAGGACTCAACTTCCCTTTCTTCCCAAATTGCATGACTCCCTTCATAGGAGATACCCTCAAGAACACCCAATCATCTACTTGGAATTCCAATTTTCTTCGACGAATGTCCGCATAAGATTTCTGGCGACTCTGAGTAGCTTTCAGCCTTTTCTGAATGATTTTAACTTTTTCCATAGCCTGGTGCACGAGATCTGGCCCTAACAATTCTGCTTCACCCACTTCGAACCATCCAATCGGAGACCTACATCTCCTCCCGTACAATGCCTCAAATGGGGCAATCTGAATGTTAACATGAAAGCTGTTATTGTAAGCAATTTCTATAAGTGGCAAGTGATCATCCCAATTACCTTTGAAATCCAAGACACAAGCCCGTAACATATCTTCAAGCGTCTAAATAGTCCGCTCCGCTTGACCATCAGTCTGCGGATAGAAAGCCGTGCTGAGATTCACCTGAGTACCCAAACCTTGCTAAAATTTCTTCCAAAAATTAGCTGTGAACTGGGTCCCTCGATTTGAGATAATAGAAAGTGGAGTGCCATGAAGCCTTACTATTTCCTTGATATACAATTGAACATATTGTTCCGCAGTATCCGTGGACTTGACTGGTAAGAAATGAGCTGATTTGGTTAATCGATCCACTATTACCCAAATTGAGTCAAACTTGCGCTGAGTGCGAGGTAACCCTACCACGAAATCCATGTTTATCATCTCCCATTTCCACATTGATATTTCCATAAGCTGAGTTAACCCACCGGGCCGCTGGTGCTCAGCTTTTACTTGCTGACAATTTGGACATTTAGATACAAAGTTCGCCACACCCCTCTTCATACCGTTCCACCAATAAATTTCCTTGAGATCATGGTACATTTTCGTAGAACCTGGGTGCACAGAATACCTGGAATTATGAGCCGCCGCCATTACCCTCCCCCGAAGATTATCCATATTTGGAACACATAGCCTACCTTGACATCATAATACACCATCCTCACCAACGAGTGAAAATGTCGAAGTCTTGTTATTCAAAACTGCCTCCTTCATCTGTGCTAATGCTGGATCAATGAGCTGATTTTCCTTGACTTCTGCTACCAGTGACGATTCTGTTCCATTACGCAACCTTCCCCTCGTCTGAGGTCGAAATACGAACCCCCAGACTGGCCAATTGATAAACCTCCCGAGCCAAAGGACTCTGATCCGCTCCCAAATGAGCCAAACTACCTATGGACTTCTGACTGAGAGCGTCGGCCACAACATTCGCCTTCCCTAGATGGTATAAAATATCCATATCATAATCCTTGATCAATTCTAACCGCCGCCGTTGCCTTAAATTCAACTCCTTCTGCTTGAACAAATATTGGAGACTCTTGTGGTCCGAGAACACATCCACATGGACCCCATAAAGATAATGCCTCCATATTTTCAAGGCAACTACAACTGCCGCAAGCTCTAAATCATGCGTCGGATAATTCTTCTCGTGATTCTTGAGTGGCCTTGAAGCAGACGCTATAACCTTCCCATATAGCATCAAACACACCCCAAACCAACCCTGGAGGCATCGTAATAAACCACAAATCCTTCAGTGCCTTCCAGCAAGGTCAATATCTGCGCCAAGGTCAATCTCGACCTCAATTCCAGAAAACTTTTCTCACAAACGTTGGACCATTGGAACTTAATTACTTTCTGTGTCAACTTAGTCAAAGGGGATGCGAGGGTAGAGAATCCCTCCACAAACCTCCGATAATACCCCGCTAAACCCAAGAAGCTACGAATCTCCGTCGGGGTCGTGGGTCTAGGCCAATCTTTTACTACTACAATCTTCTGGGGATCCACCTGAATCCCTTCACTGGAAACAACATGGCCTAGAAAGGCAACGGACTCCAACCAAATTTCACATTTTAAAAATTTAGCATACAACTGGTGCTGATAAAGGGTTTGCAGAACTGCCCGGAGGTGATCAGCATGATCCTCCCGGCTCCGCGAATAAACAAGGATGTCATCAATGAAAACAATCACAAAGAAGTCTAGAAATGGCTTGAAGACCCGATTCATAAGATCCATGAAAGCTACCGGGCATTGGTTAGCCGAAAAGACATGACCAAGAATTCAAAGTGACCATAGCGAGTTTTGAAAGTGGTCTTAGGAATATCCTGTTCTCTGATCTTCAATTGGTGATACTCGGACCGTAGATCAATTTTGGAAAAGAACCTCACACCTTGCAATTGGTCGAACAAATCATCTATCCGAGGCAAAGGATATTTATTCTTGATGGTGACCTTGTTAAGCTACCGATAATCAATACACATCCGGAGTGACCCATCCTTCTCTTTGACAAAAAGAACCGGGGCACCCCACGGTGACACACTTGGCCGTATGAACCCCTTTTCTAATAAATCCTTCAGTTGTTCGTTTAACTCCCTTAACTCCGCTGGTGCCATTCTGTATAATGGAATAAATATCGGCCACGTATCTGCCAATACATCAATCCCAAAATCAATCTCCCTATCTAGCGGGATCCCTGGAAGCTCGTTCGTAAACACTTCAAGAAACTCATTAATGACTGGCACGGACTCGGGGACAGACACTTATGAAGTGGTGTACGCCACCCGGACCAAATGGTAGATACATCCCTTCCTAATCATCTTCGAATCCTTAAGGTAGGAAATAAACCTACCTTTCGGCACCACACCATTTCCCTTCCACTCAATAACCGGCTCATTAGGAAACTCAAGCCTCATGACTCTCATTCGGCAGTCAAGTTTAGCAAAGCACGAATAAAGCCAGTCCATTCCCCCAATCACATCAAAATCCACCATTTCAAGCTCAATAAGATCGGTTGTGGTAGCACGACCACATACCATGACAACACAATTCCTATAAACTCACGTGGCTGTAATAGAATCACCAACCGGAGTCGATACAGATAACGGCTCATGAAGATGTTCTGGTTCTACCCCAAAACTTGAAGCAATGAATGGGGTGACATAAGACAAAGAGGACCTCGGATCAATAAGAGCATAACAATCAAAGGACTGAATAGACAAGATACCTATAGCAACATCTGGGGAGGCCTCTGCACTCTGGCAACCACTCAAGGCGTAAAACCGACTAGGTAAACCTCTATCATGAGCTCCACCCCTAACTACACCGCGTCCTGCTGGGGCTAGAGGATGCACAGATGATGTGGCAGCTGAAGAACCGGATGACTAAGCAAATCCCCTACCCATGCCCTGGCTGGGCGCACGACAGTCCCGCTGGATATGACCTCTCACTCCGCATCTGTAACACACCGGAATATCCAAATAACAAGTCTCAGAATGAAACCTCCCACACTTAGGGCATGAAGCCCTCCCCTGCTGTTGTGATCCCCCTCCTGGACGACCGGAATGATGGGGTCTCCTACTGTCTGAACCTGATCTCAAGTGACTGCTCTACTGATAACTGTGCAAAGATGGCGGTGCGCTTGCTGAGGACTGGGCATATGACTGGGATGGCCCTGATGGCCCTCTCCCCGGAACTGGTCTCCTTGAGTGACCCGCTGATCGAGCCCTGCTGCTACTCTCCCTTTCTGCCTGTATTTTCAACTTCCTAGCCTCTGTGGCCTGAGCGAACCCCATAATCTTCCCATAATTCATATATGAGTGTAAGGCCGCTGTAGCAGCCTCATTCACCACCAAAGGACTAAGACCCTGAACGAATCGCCGAACTCGAGCATCCATGGTCGACACTAACTGAGGAGCATACTTGGACAACCTCACAATCTCCATGTGGTACTCCCAAACACTTATACTGCCCTGCTTGAGGACCTCAAACTTTGTGGCACGGGCCGCCATTGTCTCGGCAGGCAAGAAGTGGTCCATGAATGCATCTACAAACTCATCCCATCCAGCCAGAGGTCTTCCCTCCCCACGGGAATCCTCCCACATCTCGAACCACGAATACGCTACTCCCCTCATCCTGTATGAATCCAAATCAACCCCTTCCGTCTCTGTAGCCTTCATCACTATAAGGGTCTTATACGTTTCATCAAGGAAATCTTGTAGATCGGCCTATGGGTCTGTGCCCGTGAACTCAGGAGGGGCCAACCACAAAAACTGGTTGACTCTGGAGCTGGCCGAATCTCCCTGTCCGCTGGGGGCGCATGGGCATCATGAGATCTCTGGGCTTGAGCGGCCACTAACTGGGTCAACATATGGATGGCTCCTCTAAGGTCCCCATCAGAAACCCCGGGACCGGAAGCTGGAATTGCATCAAGATCAGGAATATCAGCGGGAGGGATGCTAGCACCCTCTGCCACAGCTGGAACAGGAATACTTGGATATGGAATAGATGGGCCAGGCAGATTCAAGACCGGGGAGTCACTCTCACCCACGGCATCAGGTACATGATTCACAGCAACACTTGGGGTGGCATTGGCCCCGAGGCCGAGTCTAGCTCTCTTCTAAGATGCCATTACTGAAAATTTGGAACAGAGCACGAGTTAGATGTAAATACTTCCACTTTTCACTTCCCCACACGATATAGAGTAACAAAGAAGAAGGTAATTTCCTAAATTCCCATGTCGCCTCCAACTTATAGATGTGGTCGACAACACACCGATAAGAAAGACTCTACAAGACACGACTCTGAGACATCCTAGGACACTTTAAAACTTTAGGCTCTGATACTAAGTTTGTCACGCCCCAAAAATCGAGGGGCGCGACCGGCGCTCGACCGGGTAGCCCCCAGCCAAGCGGACCTGGGTGCCTTTCCTATTCCACGTGATACCCTGCGTTTCCATTACCCATTGACCAAGTGAAATAGCCATTTATAAATTTAAACACATTCTTACGAGATTTACATAACATACATAGTTACTTAGCGTGGTTTACAAGTTATACTGCCCAAAATACATAAGTACATAACCCATGTTTCCTGTCTATGGAGCCTCTAGAGATACAGAAAAGTGTTACAATACTTGCCGGTAACAAGGCTCCGGCTATACCTTACGCAAATACCAAAATAAAATTTTCGGGAGGATAAGCGGCATAAGCCACGCAGGGCCTCGAGAGGAAAGGGTCTCACCAATTCAGCTAACGGGAGGTAAAGGAGTGCTACTGTCGGTGGGCTGGAGTACTTGTTATGGAACCACCTACAATCATAACACGAATGTAGCGCCCCCGGCAAAAGGGACGTCAGTA